AGACATTAATTGTCGAAATCCGGATATGGTGTACAAAAGCCTTTGCACCTTTTCTTTGCGGTATATCATCTTTTCCGCCAGTTTATTGTTTTCTGTTTAGTATGAAATTTATAATTAAGATCCATTTATTACATCGGTGATCCGTTTATTTGGCAATCGCCAATGGCAGTCAGCAGGGTTTAAAAATATTTGTTGTTCGACCTGTTTGTCAAATGCGTTTTGTTGAAATATACTTTTTCACTTTTTTTATCTTTTGGAAAATGTTGTTTGTGCTGTATTTAGACCCCTCTAACAAGAAATTTGTTTTGCATGCACTCGTATAAAAATTGCGGTTTTTATCCAACGCAATCATAGATTTGAACGTTGTTTTCAATTTAGACTTGTTTATATGTATATATATATATATATATATATCGATCATCGACCGTCACAGTATCGCGTGCATGTGTGCAAACTAGTAAAATGGGTTTTTGTGTAGAATAGAGTGCCAAAATATTTCGAAGTTATAGCACCGAAAATGGTGAGGACAGATTTTTAAGAGATGCAGCAGACTTGGCTTGCTTTTATAAATAAATACACTTTGAATTATGAGTAAATACATAGATGGAGAGAAATATATAACAGACGTCTATTTGCGAATCCGATTAGAATATTTCATTAGTCTGTCACCAAACTCAAATCGAAATCAAACTAGGAAAGTAACTTTTAATATTTGATTCGTAATAGTCAGCACCATATCTACAATATAACAAAGAAGGTGTGGAAAATTGTGTTATTTCGAGAATATGGAGGTTCGTTGAATCCATTTACCTCTCTGATTGTATGAACTAAATAGACTGTGGGGAAAAAGACGTTATCAAGATGAAATTGACTATTGAAAGACTGCAGTAATTTCTTCCATTTGTTGTGCATTTATTCTGAATGTCAATCAGCGAATATTTGGAAAACAAAAAATTTCCTTAAAATCTTTCAGCATATTTTTCTATCATTTTAAAACGCTTTAACATTTGCAATTATTAGCAAACTGGCAGATCAGCACTAGATTCTTTTAAACGACGTGCCACAATAGTCTTATAGCATCATAAGGTGATTCGACGTCACTGTATAAATCAAAAACGTCGCCGACAATTTTCCACTAAAGATGAAACTTTTACCGAATTTAGCTGAAAGTTCTTTGCACCAATCTATTTGTCATTCATTTTGGAATTGTATATTAATTGTTTTAAACGTTTTGTGGACCGAAACATTAGAAAATCCTGACAACGTAAAATTACCTGCCGATTTTAACGCTTCTTCGATAAATTCTTTGTAATTTTGGAAAATCATGCAGATGATTTCAATGATTCGTATCTCAAAGTCTAAAACAGTTCCCGCCATATTTTATTCCTTTTTCTTGTGTATTTGTACAAGCAGAATTCATATATTAAATTTTAAAACATTCTTCGAAGTATTTTGTTAAAGACATTTCGCTTAAAGTAGGACATGATATGTGCGGTGCATCGTGTTTACGGTGTAATTTTTTTTTATTTATTTTTTGCATTCATTTTGCAGTTCGTTATTCAAAATGTTGTAAGTTTCCTTGATCCTGTATATCAATTTAGAATTTTTTAACTATACTGATCTTACCACTTTTCCTTCTCGGTTTTACTTCATGATTATTCTTATATATCACATGTTACATTGTATTTTTTTATATTTATGTTAATATTATGTAACTTATCCTCGTGAAATCCCCGGTCATTCAGTGTATTCTTTTACGTCCAATATGAATGTACATTTTACCATTTTTGGTCAAATATAGAATAGTATATTCCTTTCATTGAATTTTACACTAAAATAAGCGCAGGAAACCCAGTCAATTATCTAAGGAAAAATACTGTCCACTGCTATAAATTATCATGGAAGACCAAACAAAATTGGTTTGAATTTTTAAGATACAACATATGAAATAATATGATAACTAGTTAATTTTGTACACTTTATGCGCCCTTTTTGTCCACAGTGCTCGAACAAATATTGCTTATGCGGCAGTAAGATGTATGATTACAATCACATATACAGCACAAAATTCATCTACAAACAACTGTGCACTAACAAATGAACTAATCCAAAAGCGATACAACAGATAGGTTTTTCTACTGTGCACGAGCACGTGAATATCATTGAGACTGTTCAAACTCAAAATCCTTATCAGTAAATGTTTTATGTCATTTCTGAATGTGGTTGCTTATTTAGAGTATTTCGTTTTGATGGCAGATCTGTTTATCAAATTTATTTATTCAAGCACTTTAAACATCAGAAATAAAACCGTGTCATACCAACCATGTGTTTTGTGTTTATCCTGTTTCTGTAGCTCGTATGGTACTTCATCAAGCTAATAGTTACTAGCAATATAATAATACCATCCTGATCTCCATTTAGTACTTACGCATTTTCAGTCAGTACTAGGATAAACGCTTTTCCCGTTAGAACAGTAGTCTCCTACTATTAAGTATGAAACATACCTTGAATAACGTTTCCGAACACCATCATATAAAGTGTCTGTAAATGTAATAGGAAGATTACATTGATTCCATTAATTCATTTATAATTATGTTTGAATTACAACAAATATGGTATACATGATTCAAAGGCAAATCGTTGGGACAATGATTGCATTTGTTTATACATTGTTATTATCATTATCATTATCTTTATTATTTTATATATATACATTTTGATTTGTCTTTAGACGTCTACAAGGTGTTCATCACATATAACGAAGCTTTAAATTCACTTATCTTTTCAATTTTATTTACGACGATATACCCTACATTCGTTCAAGGAAAACTAGCAATAAGGAAATTTTAAAAAATATAATCAGAAACACTTTACATCCTTCTGTTTTTCCTTCATAACCCGTTTGTAATGTACCAATAGATGAACATTTGACTATGGTCATGATTCCTTTCCTTGTCAATTAATTTTCCCTGAAGGATGTTTGCTACTCATTTTTTTTTTTTACTTTTTGTCAGATATTTGGAATCCTCTTGTTTTATCCATGTAGTGCAAATAAAAATGTTGCCCGCTAAGCCCTACTTTTCTTTTGATAATTATATGACATATAGTTTAAAAAGCCATTTCTAAAAATCTTAAAAACTCTTGTTATTTTTTCCTTAGTTTTTGAAAGAAAAAAATGTTAAATGCATGAAAAATCTAGAGAGAATAATATCTTACCAAATTTTCGATTGATTATGTCTCAAAAACAAGGACAGGGACCTGTCATTTTTTTCTACTTTTTAAGTTCCGTTATTTATTAACAACCAATTTATAATTGTTTATATTTTATAATATTTTTTCCTCATACATGTATATAAAAGAGTGGATGTTTTATTGTTAAACATAAAGTTCAGTAACACCTAACGGTAAGTCTACACGTACAATTGTAAGGGAATGTAGCTAATGTCGGCAAATGTATGCTTACGATAAAGAACTTATATCCAAAAGGAATTTGTAAAGTAGAGTCATTCAAACTTTGCAGATAGTTTCTTGAAGTTTTTTCAATATCATGTCAACCCGAGTTGTCTTTGTTCTTCTCATTTCATCATACGAGTGTCCGATTTCATGTTGGCGTTATATTGTCTAAAATCCAATCTTGGTTCGAATTACTGGATCATGAGGCGATTATCTTTTAAAAGATCAGTTTGGATTTTAATATGTTTAATATATTTCACCTGTTCGGCTGAGTTGACATATGTTTGTCCTTAGGCTTTATTGTTTTGCGCAATTTATACAAAGGTGTTTCCTTCAAATTCCCAGAACCTTGGAAAATTTTAAAAATAAAGCATGATACTAAGCGATTTATTTGTGGTTTTGAGTGAGATTTTATTTAAGCACGAAGAAATTTTATGAGATTTTAATTCTATTGATTGATCGCTTTTTGTTTAGTGGGAAATTTTTCATCCATATTCAGGACGATGACAAATTCAAAAAAAATATCTACAAAATATGTTCACTTGTTAACAAATTTTGATGTATAACTTTTGTTAAGAACAGTTCTTAAAAGACTGAACAATGAATATTGGTATTTATACATCTGTGTTATTGTGCTATTGTCATTTTTTGTTTTCTTGTCTTTTATTTTTGCATATGTGCTTTATCTATAGAGTGTCTACATGCCATTTTGTTGATCTTTGTTGACATAGTTGTTTGTTTTATAATGATTAAGATTATAACACAATATTGACTGCTGTATTCCAATTTTTGACATATTTACCTATTATATTTTTGTTATTTTACTTTTAAGTTAGTCATTGTCAGTCTTCGTCCAGTTTTCAGACATATTCACTGCGTATATCCAGTACGGTTGAGACGATTTGCTCGCAGTTAATTAAGATCTGTTCATTCTATGTTCAGTAGTTGTTATTTACCTGTATCACTAACATCATACTAAATTGTCTGAAAAGCTACTGAACAGTACTGATTTTGATGGATAAAGTGCAATGCAGTGTCAAAAAAGTGATTTATTTAAAAAGAAACAGATGTTTCTCCTTAAAAAAACAGGATACGTCCATGCCGAAAAATGATTATGAACTATTAACTGTAATTGGCCTTCACTTCAGTGGTTTATTTTTTCATCAGTTGTGGATGGAGGCATATAACCTTCTTATCTTAGCCAAGTATAGCTAGTTGACTAAATATTTTATTCGACCTTCTTTTTATTTAATTCATATCATTCATTTATATATGCAGTCAATCACCATCATCATAAATATTATTTTATTAATAGAAGTACTATCATACTCATTAGTATCATTTTTTATATGTTAAAACATTATCATTTTTATTATTGTCATTATCATTTTTAATAGTATTATTTTATTTTCAATTATACTATTTTATTGTTGGTGTTATTATTATTATTATTATTTATTATTATTATCATTATTATTATTATTATTTATTCATTAATTTTGTTGTTGTCATCAATGGCTCTCACTATTGTATTTTCATTGTTAAAGGAATTACTGTGGTTTACTAAAGCGACCTATAAAGAAGACACTATGAAGAAACTGATGTTGATTGTCTTAATACTGTTCATAACTATAGGTAATATTTCTGGATAGTCTCCTTGATCAACTCATTCGTTTTTATGCATATCCACATAGAAATAATACTCGTACAACAACACGAGGTTGCAAGCGATGTTATTGTACGGTGACGAAAAAAGCATTTCGAGTATGCATATTAAAACGTATCATTTCTTATGAAATAAGAATCTGATAAGTTAATTACCCGGGTTTTATAACACCCCTAGCAGATCAGCAGGCGATAAAATGTTGCCAAAATATTTTCAAAAAATCAATTGTGCCAAAATAAAAAGAAACAAAATTTTGTAAAAGTGATAATTAAAAAAGATGCAAAATTACAAATTTCCACGGTATAAAAAAAGGCAAAAGAACGCTTCGTAAGAAATAAACTCGTTATCTGGGTACAATTAGTGGTGTACGGAATTAATTTTTACGCCGGTATTGAAAATGCATACAAGGGACTGCGTCTCAGGGTATATGGTATTTCAACACAGGTATAAAATTCTGTACACCCTTGATTATACTAAGATAACTAATATTGTCAAGCAGGAGATCAATTCCTCGCTATTCCAAAATTTAATTACACCGTACAGTTCTTGACCAATTACATCATTCTTTAATCTAAAACAGGGGAAATATGTAAAGCAAATTAAGAGCCGAAGGACGACCGAAATGACCAATTTCTTCAACAAATCTATTCATTCCATTTCAATTTTGTTCCAGATTTGTTTTTAAAAATATTACTTGCTCATCTGATAGGACAGCATTTGTGAAAGCCTTAACATGCCAAAAAAAAACCCTCAAACATATTTTGTAACTATACCGTTTGGAGAATGAAAGCAAATTATAAAAAAAAAACAAAAAAGACACAAAAGGTTTGTTTGATTCGTAGAAACAATCATTACAAAGTCAACAGATTCTGAAATTATCATTTATTGTCTGAAATAGCATCAATATTGTATCACTCCTTAAGTAGGAGGTTTAGCTAGCTATAAAAGTTTTAACCCACAATTTTCCTCGGGAAATGTCTGTTCCATGTAAAATATGGAAGTTGTTTTTCTCTTGTTCCGCTTATTGATAGCGTTTGATTTTGTCATTTTTTATTTGATTTTCCTTTTTGGAATGTGCCTTTGAGTTTATTATTTTTGTTATACATTTTTAACATTCTGAAAAATATGAATAATGTTTGATTTTGTCAGTTTTTATTTGCTATCCCCCATTTTGGAATTTGCTTTGGAGTTCAGTTTTTTTGTTAAACTTTTTTAACATTTTGAAAAATATGTATAATGTTTGATTTTGTCCAAACATATTCATAACATTCTAATTTTTTCTTAGCAAATCCTTAAAGTTATTATTTAGTCTATATTTATCTTTAATTGTGTGATAAATAAATATTAACTTAGTTATTTTATTTTACCATATTGGACACCTGCAATCTTTAAATGATACTATTATTGGTTTAATACAAATGAATAACTTTTAGTTTTTTCGACTCTACTTTGTTTTGTTTTTTTTTTGTTTTTTTTTGGGGGGGGGGGGGGGTTCTTTTGACTAACAATTTGTTCGACTTTTAAAAACAAAAAAATGTGTTTTTTTTTTTTTTTTAAATGAAATCATCATATGTAAAAATATACATGATACATTAACTGAACATGAGTTCCTAGTGTTTGAAAATATGCATCAACAAAGATATCGAATTTAAGGTAAGTTTAAACAGCGGACGTCCATAAAAAATTACAAATTCAAACGCACGACTATATCAACCAACAATCGACTGGAAAACAACAGCCATATCCCTGACTTTGAACACTCATTTCCGAAAAAAGGTTGATTAAACATAATTGTATAGTTGGTTAAACCTGGTTTTAAAGTTGGTTAAACTTGGTTTTAGAGCTGGTTAAACCTGGTTTAATAGCTGGCTTAACCTGTTTCTTCTATAACAGATTCATACTTGATATAACCGAGCTTTTGAATTTGTCATTTTTTATGGACATCAACACTAAATGTCTATACTTAAAATAAAATTTAGTAAAACATTAAGCCATGTGATGATATTGCTATATATTCTGTAACTTTGCTATTGTAACTTAATGATAACGTAATAATACCGGGTATATTCTACACACTCTAAAAATAGCCATAAAAGGTATAACTTTTCTGATTGTTTAGATGAGATAAAGTTTCATATTAACCTTACCTACAAAACATGTTTTCGACATTGTGAATCGGTGAATCATATCGGTCAAAAATGACAAATATTCACTAGATGTCTCCTTCGGTTATTTGTTTGGATGAATACCAAATGTTTCATAGATTTTTATTGTTCCTACTCTTGTCTCATTCCATGATTATTGCCATCTAGCGGAGCATTTGTCATTGTGGACCGATATGATTCACCGAATCTTTTTAGTAACGATAGACAGACATATATTATTTGCAGTGTTTTAGGAGTTTTTCCAAAAAAAACCTTATGAAGGTCAAAGCAAATGGTTAATAACTGAAAGGAGAACTATCTGATATATTTTTACGTTGCATTGTTTTTACTTCAGATAGTGTCTATCCTTGTAGTTGTATTCCGGATGAGGATCCAGTTTGTTCCACAAAGGGTGAAACTTTCCAAAATGAGTGTGCCCTAGAGTGTGCGTAAGTTTTCTTTTCAATACCGTAACCGAAACATTATCATATTATACCTTTATAAATGCATGCTGGGAATAATACAATGCTTAATACAGAAATTGGTCATGCAGAATTTAGTAATGGCTCTTCACTTGACAAGTAATTGTTTTTAGCAACTTAAACACTAATATTCTTACAATTCTAAAGTGATTTACATATTTGTCTAGACTGCAATGTAAATTGAATGTTGCATCGATCGAGTTGAGATCATAGAAATCTAATGGTCAACAAAGAATATCCCTTGTAATCATATGTTAAAATATAATCTAATAACCTAAATCATAGTAATTACTAAGATCACAGGGTCCTGATTTCGGAAAGGCACATAGGTATTGATGATTAATGTTGCCTGTCGACGTAAACAGTCTCACCTTTGCGATTCCTTCAGTTTACGTTAGTATCCTTGGTTTGTATCTTCCAAAGTTGAATGAGATTTGAACATTGCATGGTTAACGATAAAATTAAAAACGATTGTGAGCGCTTAATCATATGTAGGTCACTTAATTGCAAATGTTACTTCCTAGTTGAATTACATATAACATAAGTTATAAGTTAAAAACAAATAACCCCCATCCCCACCCAACCCAAAAAAAAAAATATATAACCGCACAGATAGCCATCTCTGCCACTAACTGACCAATTCGTATAGGTTTATCACAAAGCCTTCATTTCATACATTTATATCAATTTTGAAAAAAGATTTATTTTCCTTTGAAATAGTCCCAAATCCTTACAAATTTAATTCCACATTGATTTGAACATTGCATTTCAAAATTATTACAAAAAACTTAAAACCCTTGAATACGATCTTTTCGCCAAACATAATTATTTCCTGTATTTCAGCCGTCAAGTTTTAGCCTGCCGTCGTAAATGTCCATGTTAATCTTAACCATTGTGAAAGTATTTACGAATGAGACAGAAGTAAGTTTTCAGAATTGTAGTGTTAGATATGTTTAAATGATATATATATAAGGTACAAACCCAATTCAAATGATGAGGAATCGTAATTCTTAATTACAGAGGAAAATAATGCAACAAAACAAACGAAAAACAACGACACAATTGTACACACGAAAAGACAAGATCTCCGAACAGCGCACACTTAAAACTATTACTTTGTCCGATTTAAAATTTCCTTAAAACCGGAAGTGATAGATTTACTCCAGAACACTTTTAAAAGAAACAGGTATGATAAGCCATCTGTTGCACAATTTGGAATATGAAAATCACGAAGTTTAATGATTTATTAATTGAAGTATCCTCCATATTCTACAGCTTTTTCAATATGTCAGATTTCAGTACTTACAAATTTGAATTTTGCGATTTGTTTTTCCTTTGTGCATATAAACTTTCTGTAATAATCGCAAATGAAACTGCAAAACCTTAAGAGATTGTCTAATTTCAAGATCTTGTCATTAATATATAGAGATAAAAAAAAAAAGCCTTACCGAAAAAGAACATTTTAAACAAGATCTCTAATACAAAGATGTCGAAGCTTTTCTATTTTGCTCATCATACACGCTACTTTCTTAAGCGTAAGTTATACAGTAATGGTAGTGTTCATTCGTTCGCCCTTTCGACCCCTTTTGTATCTGCTTCTGTTTCTGAACCGTTTGACATAAATTACGGAGTCACAGAATCTTACTCACATTATGTACTATTACACTTCGAATTCAAGGTCTACAATCTAACATTTTGTTGGGGTCGATTTTGACATGACAAGGACTTTGTCATATTTACCAACAGCAATTATATATACCTATCACATATATTAATATTTTTTTCTGTAAGGAGAAAGGAAGCAAGTATCTATTGTGTTGCCCATTAGGAATTCAATGAAATGTTCGCAATATCTTCACTATACATTGGCATTTTGCACCCTTTTTATTATTTTTGACCGAATTATGCTCCGGAAAATTCCCTGAACAAGTTACGGTTTTGATTAATTGATTGTTAGTTGCTAAACGTCCAGTGGCAAATATTTCATGCATGTTCAGGACGAGAATAAATTAACAATAAATACAATACGTTGGTCCTGTAATAGAGGCCAGCTGGGATGAAAGTCGGGAAATTTAGATTACCACTGAGAAATGAGGGTAAATTGGATAGGGACACAAATTTAGCCTTGCAACAGGCCATCTACGGACCCCTCAAAGAGTTGTTGCAAGGGTTCTTAACGTGCAGAGAGCGTGGTTCTTTCTTTACACGAGGCATCTGATTTAACGTCCTCATTCTGACCGGACGTGGCTGCGTACTTGATACATCCCGTACAGCCAAACTGATGCCCTACTTTGTCAAGGGTTTTACTGCCGTTCGGATGAAGACCTGTAGTAACCATATTTCTGTTCCCCAGTCACCCTTGTGACTTACGTTATTTACAAGAAGAGAGGTATCATGTTGTAAGCTTTACTCACAAATATCGAGCATTAAACACTTGAAAGCTCATCTATTTTACAGTGACAACAAAATGTTGTTCTATTCATTCATTAAAACAATTCACATAATTTTTTTACCTTATAAGGGGCAAAAACATAGTTCTTATCAGCCTTCTTCCTTTGAGTATCGGCATAGTAATATATAAATAAAGGTAAAGCATACTAATACAATAAAATTTTCACCTTGGGTTTCTCTAAAGGAATACACATTTTAAACATGTTCGAATTTGATGGAATAGATATATTCTAGATGTATTGTGTGTTTTTCGGGAAAAAAAAGTATCGAATTTAATTTATTATGAATGGGTTAAAAACATTACCGACTATGAAGATCAACTTGAACAATAAGATATTGTTAAAATGATATATCTGGTTATGAGTGAAAATGTTATACTGCCTCGTTCTCTTGAAACAAATGAATGGTGTAGATTGGTAACTTACTACGGAAAAACCAGTCGACCATGGTGCGTCTTATTTAAAGAATTTGAGGATCTGTGTACGTTTCATATTCTAATTTCATAGTTCATTTAGATGCTAAAAAGACTTGATACTATTGAGGCGTATCATTTTTTTTATGTTAATGGTATTTTTATGTTGATTTTGAATTTTTTTTTCTATAATGTCAAGATTTTATTTTACTTTAAGAAACAATTATTCAGTCAACCAATTAATTGTTCAATGCAATTTCCTTTACAATAATTTATTTTGCATTTCTATTTCAGCACCAAGTGAGAATGAATAAAAAATTTGATACATATTAAGTAATCAAAGAATAAAACAAAATTTCACATTATGATTGTTGAATATTATTAAAAATTCATTATAATTTTGTGTTAGTGTGACTGACATTTTTATCATTCGATACTTTGTTATGTTTATGAAAACTAACATCCATCTTCTGTTGAAGACTTTTAACTTCTAGATGTCTTCTGTTTCTTTGGGTTTATTTTTATTTTTTTTGTCGACTGCTCGCCTAGACGAAGGAGACCGTGGGTTTGAACCCCAGCTGGGTCAAACCAAAGACTTGAAAATTGGTATTTGCTACTTTTACACTAAGCACGTGACAAATAGGAGTTCGAGAAAATACTTGTCAGTTCGGGTCAGAATAATGTGTCTGGTAAGGGTGACATATCTATCTGTGGACATCTACCATCTGACTTACCACGTTAAAATTCCGGCTCAGCGTGTCGGTCTATTACAAAGCAGGGTTTACATTTAAAAATGACATTATATTGTTCTCTTCCTGAAAATGCATTTAATTTGTTACTGGACGCTAAACAGCCATCCTTCATCATCATCTGTTCCGTCTTTTGTTTTGTTTTTTTCAAAGTTTTATGTATTTTTCATGAACTATTTAAACAGAACCAATTTAACTTCACCAGATGCGCATTTCGACAATTAATGTTTTGTTAGTGATGCTTGAGGCCAAAATAGATGAAATTCCAAGACGTAATACAAACGTTGATAAGCTGTTCAACCAGATGCTCGAGGCCAAAATATTTGAAAATACAAAACCTAATACAAACGTTGAAGATTTTATCAACCAAAAGGACCTAAAGTATAGCCAGAACCGGACAAAGAAACAGAGCTTTGCATGAGGGAGATATATTCCTTAATTTAAAAGGTTTTCAAAACATTTATAATTTTTAAGGTAACGGGGTTGTATCAGTCTTTGACGATAGATTTTTCTTATACGTCTCTAATAGACTTTTGGGTCAATGTACTTTCAAATTTTCATAAAAAAAACAGACCTTTTTTTTCTTTAGATACGTTGAAATTAACGAAAGCACAGTTATCTTTTTTTAGTTGATATAGGGAAAAATCTATCTTTTTCCTTATTTAGGAATCATTAAACGATGGGGCAGAGTGTATTTACGAATTCGAATACCTAATTAAATCTAATTTAATTCTCCCTCTCCTTGTTCGTCCGAATTTAAAGCATTTAAACTCTAAATTCAATTGGCTATAAATAAGATAAAAACATAAATACGATTAGTTGCTCGCAGTAACATTTTATTTTCTCTTGCTCTACAATTTTTGTTTTGATTAAATGTACAGATTTCCACAATTTCAAAAATAAATGCATGTAATAAACGTAGCAGCAACTGTATATATACTAATGTGACTAGTTTCGATTCGACATAACTGCGAGCATCTTCGATACTAAAACATCTAAATGCCAAACTTTATACAGTACGATAAAACTCCACCCGTAGAAACCACAAAAACTTTTCTCTTGCCCTATGCACCTTACATCACACTTAATCAATAGTAAGTTTTGTTGCAGAACTAATTAATACTAAATCCCATCTGTATATAAGTCCTACAAATATCAAACGGGAAAAATCCAATTTCAAATGAAATGAAATATATTTAAATTCTCCCTCGCCCTGCTCGTCCGAATTTAAAGTATTTTACTCTAAATTCAATTACCTATAAACAATAAAAACACAGAAATAAGATTAGTTGTTCTTAGTAATAACACCACAAAGGAATTGAAACAGTTGCGAATTATATGCCAATATTCAAAGATACAACCAACTGACGATGTAAATTGTCCTTAATATAACCGTCTTTAGACTGGTCTGGTGACCATCTACCGTGTGCTCTCAATCATCCATAAAAAAACCAGTCATTAGCCGTTGAGGTTGCACCTCTGTTTCTAAGACTATGCAACCCAAACTTAGTTTTTTCTAATCCAATATTTTCATATGACTTAATTAGTATTTCACGAGCTCTAGTGTATGATAAGAGTGTATTGTTTTGTTCAGCTTGTTAACACCTTGTGATTTCAAATCTTTTTATTTTTAGCTTTTATATTCATATGTTTAACGATTCACAATCACAGGCCAATACACAGCTGATTTCTATTTAGGTACTACTAATATACCTTTTGCTTTACACATTCGCATATGATTAATAACCCTATTAATCAAATAAATAGGCGGAAATATTCAGTTATTAAATATTGACCAATCATATGCAAATGCAAATGCAAAAAATCACAAACTAAAACCGAGGGAAACATATCAACTATAAGAGGAAAACAACGGAACAACATAAACACTGAACTGCTACAAAAACAAACGCCAACATACATAGAAACGGACTATTTAATAACAACTGTCATATTCCTGACTTGGTACAGGACATTTTAAGAAAAAAATGGTGGATTGAACCTGGTTTCATGGCTAGCCAAACCTCCCGCTTATATGGCAATGTTAAAAAAAAAAGCTAAAATGACAACATTGCGTGACAGGAATACATAACAACTAAACGAAAGAACACTCAGGACAGAGACATACATACATAAATAATATAATAGTACATTACAACATGTAAACCACAGAATAACAACGACACCTCCCATTTACACCGCAATAGAATTATGAACTGTGCGTCACACGAATATATCAACGCCAAAAAAAGCGACGTTACAGGTAAATTTTTAAAAATAGAATATAAAATTGGGATTAAGTTTGTAAGGGTGTTTTTTTTTATGTATTTTCTAACCATTACAAGAATATTAATATAGAATTGTGTTAGTAATGGTGTAATTATTTGTATTTTCTAACTATGTCGGTTTTAAGAAATTTAAAAGAAAAATCCTGTCAATGTGTTTATCAAGTATTATTGGAAGATAATAAAGTATTAGCTATATCTTCCCGTAATAAATCGGAAATATATTTACATATGCAGATTGAAGATAAGAATACGATTTACTCCACGCTTTTTATTATAACCAGACATTCGTTTTTACAAATTTCCATTTTAAGATTGTTCAACGGAGTCTACCATGTAATTCATTTCTATTTAAATGTAAATTAAAAGAAACTGAATTATGTACTTTTTGTTCAGAAATCAGAGAGAGAAAAAAAATCACATTTTATGGGAATGTGATGTTGTACAGAATTTCTGACTATCTATGATACACTGGATCAGAAATATCATATTGTATTGCCTTTAAGCACAAAAAAGTCATTTTGAGTATGTCTAGAGATTTTGTTAACAGTCAAACAGTAAAAAATATTGTGTTGCTATTTAAGTAATATATATACAAATGTAGATGTCTGAATATATTGACCACAACATATGAAGGGATAGAATATTTAAAATATTGGATAAATATAGAAAAACAAAATGTTTCTTAATCCCTGCACGAAAAGTTAAAACAGATCAAAAGGAACAATTTGTAGAAGCAGCATTTGATTAACCAAACAATTGTGATATATCTTATTATATCATTAGGCTATGACTTGATAAAATCTTACAAGTGTGACTTAATTTTTGTAATTTGTTACTAATACTGTTGTATGTAATTTCACATGTTTCATCGTGAAACAGTTAAAAAAAACAAATACAACAAAAATGTTCATTATCCGACTGTCTGCAATGTTGCTAACTGGGAGAAGTGGCTTCTGAGAAATACCACTTCTACGGCTACTTTTTCGGCCGAAATATTTGTCATCATGATTTTTATAACATCATTATATATATATTACCATCTTATATTAGTTCCCTTGTGGAAATCTTAAGACTATTATATAAATATATATAAATTATTAATTATAAATGTTATTTTAAAATATATTACATTGAAAATGAATATAACAATCCTCCATACAAGATGGTGTATATCAAAAATGAATAAAATAAACAAATTAGGATCTTTTTTAATACATAGTACATAAACTTAATATATCTTTAGTCACTGAAATAAAACATTTTTCTTATTTCAAAATAAGTACTTATCTTGAGACTGATGTTTTAGACTCACTGGACTTCAACCAAATAAAATGTTTGTACTTTGAAATATAGGGGACTTCTTTTACATTCAATACATACTTCCTCAAGAATGAAATCCTTTTCTTTTCATGTGCAATGCATTGTATTATAAAATGAAACTCGTCTTCAACCAACATAATTTTACAATGCCTTCAAAATCTTATATCTTTACTGATTCTTTTATATCGACTTTTTTTCAATATCTAAATGATGAACACTCATTTAAATTGAGTTAAGCTTTTTCGATACTGAAATAACCTAACTTGACATAAATATGCGTCCTTTTGAAAGATGTTTTTAAATTTAAGACAAGTACGCAGTTTTCCTTTTTAAACATTTACATTATCATCTATGGTATTTTCCAGTAAATCCTATATCTACTAAAATTGTTTAACCCTTTCAACATCAACATTGTCTATATTAACATCAATAACTATTAAATGTTGCAGGGAAATGGGAAGTTGACAATCGGAAATTTACAATCATCCCATCAGTACTTGACTTTTTTTTACCTCTTGTGTCTGTTTGTTTTGTTTTGTTCACGCATCGTTGTCAATATAATGGAATTTGATGGGACTGTCATACAAGTGAGAGGTTTAGCTAGCTATAAAACCAGGTTCAATCCACCATTTTCTTCATAATAAAATGCCTGTACCCAGTCAGTAATATGACAGTTGTTATCCATTCGTTCGATTTGTTTGAGCTTTTGATTTTGCCATTTGATTAGGGACTTTCCTTTTTGAATTTTCCTCGTATTCAGTATTTTTGTGATTTTAATTTTAATTTTTTATACTTTAAAGTATGTATTCTGTGTCAATAGCGAGGAAAAGTTTAAGATATAAAGCAGACCTTTTAGTTTCGGAAGCATCCTAAACATGAAGTTCCCTCAAAACACTGGCAGGTAAATAGCACTTCTAAAAAGCAGGACACCAAGGGGGCAACTAAAACTATAAGTCGGAGAAAGACATGCAATA